CAAAAATTTCAACAGATCAAGTTTAAAAAAAAACAACTAACCAACCCCCCTTCTCTTCCACTCCCCTTTTTAAGACACATCACATCTTAATTAATTAGGTTTGAATTTCTTGAAATTGATAGTATTTTAGCGATTCTCCCATCATCCATAAAGCCTGCTATGAAGTGTAGATCCAACTTTACAATGATATACAGTAAGTAAACAAAAACATAACTTAAAGATTAGAAGAAAATCGGACAGAAAACATGTACCTTTTGGCTGCCATTTCAGGATAGTATAGGCAATGTCTCTGAGTCCCCTAACTGAGCATTTAACTTGTTTTTATTTAACTTATTTTGTAGTATCACAGAATGTGCAATGGCATCTGCCTGAGTAGATCCTTATGGAGTGCCCTTCCTGAATGAGAGCTTAGATACTGTAAATCTATCCCAGTTATCCCTAAAGAGAAATTGGACTTTGCAACTGTCTGCACTCAAGCTTCGGCACCTCCAGATGTAGCACGCATCGCAGTCTTCACTTCAAAACAGCTGTCAAGAATGTGTGCCAGACTTTTAGCTGTCATGCCATACAGACAGGATCCCACACGACATACAAATGGCAAAATAGAATTAAATAATGGTCATGCTACAAGAAGAAAAATGCAATAGAGTTACAAAATGGTAGCAGTCACGCTCACTGACTTTACAAAAGTCAAAATTTCTTTGCTGGAGTGAGTTTAATATGAGATGGTTCTAAAAATCATGATGTTAAGATGTAGCTGCATTTGTTGAGAGAAGAAGAAGAACTCTACTTGCCTAATGTGTTTTAAGAAAGGTGTCCCAAAATTTATCTGGATTGATAACTTGTCTAAAATACCCGTGGCTATTATTTACTGTGTATACAAAGATCTTCTGTTCATGAGTGATGAGGCATAGCATATTACTAGCAGCCTTCACATTGCGGTGTAAAAAAACCCTCCGAAACTGCCTCTATATAGAGTTTGGAATGATTTCATTACTTACTAACACTCTTCCTAAATGTAAGTAGAATTTTAGTTAGTAGTGCATTTGACGAGGCAGATTAAGCTGACAACTTTCATTAGTCAGACATACAACCATTGTAAAAATCTTCCAAACCAGAAGGTTAGTCTTGAGAAACTAGACACTGATGCTGGCAGGTTCAGAGATGTTTTTTCAACTTTATACAACAGTTCATCTGTGCCATTATAAATGTCTCAGAAAGTAATATACTGAAATATATACTGATGGCCTGACACAGAAAGAGGCCAAAGAATAAGGAAAATTTAGATGGTCCTAATCAAGTGGTGCTATTTGTCAGATGCTACAACACCAGAAGCAAACAACTGGAATGGAAACTCAGGTAAATACTAGGAATTAGTTTTTCATTGGATGTTGAAATAAACACCATCATAAAAATGGCTATTCAAGAAATATATTGTGAAAATTATTTCATTAAATATCTATATGGCAAAGCGTTTAATTTTGTGTCGTAGCACTGTATATTATTAGTTATACAGTATCAAATAAATTGAGGAAGAGCCCTCCCACAGGACTCTCTAGACATTGCTTTTCTACAAGATCAAGTCAGGCCAGATGATCTAATAGTCCCTTGTGACAATAACACTTATAAATCTGTGAAAAAGCTTAATAAAATAGAAGAAAAAATATGGTCTTGTATTTCTAAGTCTTTTGAGCTTTAACCTTCTCCCTGCCCCTCTCTGCTTTTGTTGTTTATCTCAAAGTAATTCAGCTTTTTATTTCAGATTTTGTTGTACATTTAAGCATGCTGCTTGCACTCTTGAATTCAGCAGCCTACCAGTCGATTCTACAATTTCTGCTATGGCTGTGGTCTAAGTATTTAAGTTTTTTATAACTATTTGCAAACTTAAATAGAATGTTTAAAACAAAATACTGGATCGCCCAAATCCATCACAATATTTTAAATGAATGCTACATAGAATTTTCCTTACCTCCTCATTGTACATCTTGCATTTTAGCTTAAAAACTGGTCCCTTGTTCTTAAATAAGAATTCCAGTAGCTCCTCATTGCCATAAAGCCCTGATGGGTTAGCTCTAAGTAATGAGATAATTTGATTATTGTAGTATTTTAGGTAAGTCCTGCTAACCAACAAATGTACATTTAGACACCACCACTCATTATATTCTTTGTTCCCTATTAATGTAGCCTGTCCTTTTATTCCTACCAAACGGTACTCACTTACTTGTTCAGAGTGACAACTTTCCATGTGGTAGTTAACTACTATTTCTTGAGGGTCACTCAAGAAATATTTCACCATTTCAATATTTCAGTTTTTATTGAGTATCACTCGTGGGTCAAGGAATTCTGACTACGTTTTCCTAATACCACGGCAACATTTTTATTATAGGCCATCTAAAGCTAACATTTTAGTTGCAGGATGGGATTGCCTTTTTTTCTGGTTTTGAAAGACTGTAGTGACTATGTAAAGCTAATACAAAGTTAGGGCATTTGTTTGGGTTTTTTTACTTAATTCGGGGAATATTCCACAGTAATAAGAAAGTTTGTATGTTCAGGTGCTACTAATGAATATCAGTTTAAGAACAGATAAAGAGATTGGACCAAACTAGTTTTCTTTTGCTTTGTAGCCACTTAACAGCAACAGGAAGCACTCAAAGAGAACTGTGCTTATTTGACTTTAGCATACCAGTTCTGCAGACCCAAAGAATTGTGTTTAAGTGAGCTGCCAAACCTGGGCTTGGTGCCAGCCTGAGCACTCTTGGTTTCTCACTGGCTGACCTGCTGCTACAACTCTAATGCCCACTTTCTTGCTTTACGCTCACATTTCCCTAAGAAGAAGATTCCATAGTCACTGCAGCCTATCCGCCTTTTCCAAGGTGTAAGCCTCGGTTAAAATATGTCTGGAAAAGACTGTAGCCTACAAAGCACCCTAACATTTGCCTGAGTTTCTACCTGTGCTTATAATCTCCACGAGGGGTTGGAATCACTAACTTTTTATGGGTATCTGTATCTAAACTGACAGCATCCACTGTAGCCTGACACTATCCCAATTGGTTTCCAGCAGAATTCATGCCAGTGGGCACAGTCTGGATCTGATTTGGAGGATGGCGATGGAAATAGGGATTGTTAAAAACACCCCATTATCATATGGTCTGGTAGTTGGCTACAGCACTGTTCTACAAACATGATTTAGTACAGATGTTTCATTTAAACTCTAGGTTTATAAAGGTACACATTTTTCTGGTTTACTCTAATTATAACCACAGTCTACTCCTCCCCAGTAATCAACTGCTAGAATTTGTCAAATGTTGTCATTTAATATGTGGGTCACTTCCAGTGCTGTGTTTGTTGCATGGAATGCTCCACTTCCATAGAAACAGATGTTTTAACTTAACAGCAAAAAGAGCTAAACAAGTGCATGTGAAGGCGCAGTGCAAATAACGTGTTTCATTTCTGTTATTTATAGCTGTCCGCAGCTATCATAATTTTTTTATTTGAAAATTATTAAATCAATTACAAGAAGTTTATTTGCAGATACTGCCAAGAATGGTGCATGCTAGGCAACTGCTTCTGGGGAAAATTGTCTTCTTCTGGGCCATTACAGAGGCATTTAAGTGAAGCCAGTGCATTTCTGAAAGACTACAGCATGACAGGGTCTCTATACCGAGCTTCAGAGTATGGGCAGAAAAAAATTACCCTTTTTAGATCTCCCAACCCTTCTGGCAGATACGCCAGGTGACAAGGGCAGTGGAGCTAGTACTTACTTCATTCCTCAGCATATTTGAAAAGGGCAAGGCCAGCTGAAGACGGTGGTTAGAAGGAAGACTCCAGGGAGGGGGCTCTGGCTGGAAAAAGGCTGGGCTGAGGGGATGGGTTTGTTCCTTCTTTCAGTTTGATTTGACTGAAATATATCCCACCTAAACTGGGAATTACGGCTCTATGAAAAACTAGTAACAGCCTTTTCTCGGAGACAAGGGGGAAATATTTTTTTGAAACACAGAACTATTTACACATACCACAATGAAGTAACAAATCAGCCATCTGTGAAATTCTTTGCTCTTTTAAATCCTACCTGACTAGTTTCAGGTCACTGTAGGAGCCACTGATTTTTATAACAAAAATGATGTTTGAAAACGAGCCATACCGCATACTTTCCAAAGCACACAGACAGAATAATTCATAACAGTGCTGTAATATTCCACATCCAGGGGCGGATCACGTAAAGAGCGAGCTGCATGCAACCAAGGTAAGGGCTGATAGCTGATATTGTCTAACATAATTTCCCCCCAAAATCCCATAATTTCTACACTTGAACTGTGGGCAAGCCTGAAAGTACAGCCCAGGTTATTCCAGAAGTTCACCGTGTTCCCCTTCACGGCCCACCCAAACGCCCTGGACACGTACTCCACCCACCTATACTGGGGTTTCTGTGCAGAAGACAGAGCCAGGCCAGATGAGAGAAATATCTATGTTTGGAAAGCCTCTGCAAATGTGGGACACAAAAGCAGTAAACAAATCAAACGGGATGCCAGACCAAATGTGTTCCACATTTGCGAAAATAACAAAGTTGAGTCAGGAAGAAAGGTTTATGTGTCTTCTCCTCGTGCAATCCTTCCCAAGGTGCTTTCTTTCAATCCCCCCAAAATTAAACCCAGCACAGACAGCAGCAATATTTGTGAGTACGCAGCATCGACCAGGCACATTGCAAAGCCACTGGCAGCTGCACATGGCTTGGCACAAAACACAGCTCGAAGAGGAGAGCAGGTGCTTCCTCCCACAGTCCTCCTCCACGCCCGGGCATGCTCCGAGGGGCACGGACGTGCCACTGCATGGCACTGCTAGAAACAAGCGTTCGCACATCACCTGCCACTGGCAGTGGACACAAGCTCAGGAGCCTGGCTGGCAACGTCTTCCCACGAAACTCTCAAATCTCTGCCCCCCTCCCCGCCCCCCGCCTATGAATTCCTGCATGGGAACATCTCCAGATCATTTCTTTAGCCGTGAGAAGGACCTAGGGAAGCCCACCTCCATCCATGTCAGTGACTGAAAGTCTTTTCAAATGTCTTTTTGAGGAACTGGTGAAACCACGGGAACCAGCGCACTTCTGCTAGCCTGGTTGCACAGCATCTGGTAGCTCCACGGTTTGGTGTCCGGTAGCTGTACTACAATAGGAAGCAAGATGCAACTGAAAAGCGTGCAGGCAGTATGGGACAGAACTGCTGTTCCACATCAGATTTACATTAAACATTAAATGTAAAAAATATAAATTACTGAAAAGTTTGCCCAAAGTTTCTACTGATTCATTTTTCTATGAAAATCTTGACATCACAAAAAATCACTGAAGGCTATTCATTGAAAGTATGCTTTAGCACATCCTTAATGAGAGATGGGAATTTTTGAAAACTGGAAAATCTGGAAAGCTTTTATAGCTCTTTTCAGTGTATTTAAACTGTATATTTAATGTCTGCACATAGTAAGTGAGCACAGTCCGACCCAACCCTGCAATAAAGAAAAATAATGTCAGCTGCTGTTTTAAAATACTGCTCTTCACACAACAATAAGTAAGTTGTCATGATTGCTTGGCAGCAGATCAATATGAAGATATCTTGCATCAATGTATTATATATTAAGGGGTATGGGTGTATTATTTATTAAGCTAACTCAGCCCTTTCCCTGACCGCAAGTTTTCTACAGAGCAAGTGCTATAAATTTGTTTTGAATTCATTTTTGTCTTAAGATTAAAAAGTCAATTTATGATACAATTTACATGAATGAGAGTAGTCATTTAATACTTGAAATTTAGAATTTCATTGTCCACCCAAGTCACCTATCAATATTTTTAGTCTTTGTTGGATAACTTAACCTTTATAAAGTGGGCAGAACGGCCTTATTAATTTACTGGGACTTTCATTTAGAAGTCCAGTTAAAGAAGGAAGATGTATTACACTAGCACTGGATAAGCAGATTAAAAGAATACTAGGGCATTACATATTTTTTCTTGCTCTCCTAACTAATAAAATCATTATTTTCCTATATATATGGCATTCATATTTAATATATGCTCTCTTCCTGAACAAATGAACCAAAAAACCATGTTGCAATAAAACTCAACTGATTTAGTAGACCTCAAAATCCAGAATCCTTTTTATGCATCAGATAGGCACAGTTTTGCCTGTGCATTATAGTCACATATATCTTTCCTCCCATGATACAGTTATTTGCCATAGAGTCAAAGTCTGGAACAAAGATTTGAGGATCCAACTTTAAATATCAATGAGAAAAAAGATCTTACTCTGCGATGTGAGGTGTGGCCTCTTCCCGCTTTTCTTTCTATTACACCTATTTTCTGTTGGCCAATCCTCAGGACAAACCTAAACAGTAAGGAAAAAGTCCTAAAAACTTACAGCTTGCTTCCTGTACCTGGCGCCATGGCCACGTGTCCTCTACCAAACACTTCCATGTTCATCAACTCCTTCATTTGCTGCAAAAAGTAATGGAAGAAAGTATTCTCCTGCAGAAATCCTGGCCTTTTTCAGGGATTAATTCCCAGGGGTTCAAGGGAGCCTCTTGCCATGCCTGCCTTTTCCATGGGATTCCTTTCCCACCTCTGACATGCATGCCCATGCCTTCAAGGCGAAGGCTCACAAGCAGGTCTTTGCTCACTCCCCTTCTTGACTTTTTATCGTTTTACCTACATTTATACCCTCGTTCTCAATTCCATAAATGTAACCATTTCCTGCATTGCAAGCTCCAGCATCTTCTTGATCTGAAAGACAGCCAGACAAAAAGAGAGCTGATATGAAAATTGTTTTCACAAGGCAAAACTGTCCTGTGACACTAACTTGATAATAACCATTCTCAATTTTGTACAACCACTGTTCCCATTAGGTTGGTTTCTATTTTTTGTCATCTCCTGTTGCCACCACTCACAGTGTTATTTTGCAGGAAAGAGTTAGACGCGTTCTGTTGTCTCAGCAAAACCCTCCTCCCACTTTCAGCCGGTGCTTGCACACAACACGTGGATGAGGAAACTCATCTCCTTTGGCGAGCACAGGACCGCGTCCCTGGTAGGGGAAGCAGCCACCCATGCATGGGAGGCTTCACCAGCAAAAAGTACCAGCTAAAACCCAATGGCTGCAGTCTTTGACTCGTGTCTGCTGCTGCTGCTGTGCATCTTCCGCAGCCCTGCTCCCAAAGCACCACCCGGCAAGCAGTGACGGAAACATTTAAAGCAAACACTCACGTGAGCCATGCTTGAATCGGTTTGATTTTCCTCCACTGCTGTATTTAACATGCATTCACTAAATTGCAGGATTCAAGATGCCAGGCACCTCTGTCATTCCCCTTGAGCCCTCTTCACACACCCTGATCACACATAGCTCTCAAATCCATATCATTACAGTAATTGGGACATTGCTGCAACCCATAGATAGATACGGTTATATGCTATAAACTTCATTTTGTTAAAATCAATGGAAGATCTAAAAAAAAGTTAACAAAAAATGCAGGACGAACAGTAAGGTCAGGTGAAGTCCTGGATGAAACAGCTTCAAAATCCGAGGTTTGTTTTCTTTGGGTGTTTTACCTTTCCCAGGCAAAGGTGTTGTGTTCTGGGAAAACGCATTCGTCCTAGTGCTGAGTCCAGCCAGCCCCAGCAGCCCAGCCCCCCGTAGCGATTCTCCTAAAACCCAGATCTCACTGGATCTGCGGCACTGTCAAATCTGGTAGTGTGGGGGTTGCTTTGGTGGGAAGATCAAGCGGTTAATTCACAAGAGGTAGAGATAAATTAACATTTTCTAAACTATCTAAGAAGACTGAGGAAAAAGGGATTGTTTTCAATTTCTATTTACAGTTTCAGAAATAAGCTTGTCTGTTAAAAGCCATGCGGAGCTAAATGCTGATTCGTTGAAACTGGCATATCTGGGAAAAACTCAGTTGGACAAAAAATCCACAAACTCACTATTTCAAAATCAATTGTTTTCACGCTGGAAAGCTGCCATTTAGAGGGCTTCAGGACAGAATTTGTGATGTTATATTTGCTATTTTATTTTACATTATGCCTTGCTAAGAGCAGAACAGCTACTTTACATTTTCAGAATCCTTAAAGAAATTGTCATTAAGCTGGCATACAATTTTCACTGAAACATCTTTTATTTCCTTCCTAAGCCAAAAGACCTTGTGTTTGATAATGAAACAGCTGGGCCCATGGATGTAGCATGTGCACGATATACATTACCATTACCATACCTGAATAAAGCAAAAGTAAAAATTATACAAAAATGAAAATGAGTATAATACAATGCAAAAATTATTTTTAAAATTTACATTAAATTTTACAGTACCTTTAATATACTTTTCATCAAAGTAAAATTTAAAGGAAATATTTCAATATAATTCAAAGCAACATTTTCATAAAAATTATTTTGTGAAAAATTGCTACTCGCTTCTATAGGGAGTAATCAGGAAATAATCTTAACTCTTAATCCCAGCATTAGGAGATACAAACATCCACTTGTCTTTTATTACTTATCTGGAAATATGAATTCCTGTAAATTGATGTTATTCACTTTTTTCCTGTAAAACAGTATACAATCATAAAATATATAAAAATTAAAAATATTATAAGATAAAACTGAGGGAAATGTCTCAACTTAATACAACTTTTTTCCTAAACCTTACAATCTGGAATTTCTGGGGTTTGTGAGAGATACAGAAACGTGCGTAATTTTGATTATATTTCTTCTGGGAAACTCCTTTTTCCTGTTTGGGGTAAAATGACAAACTCAAAATTCCACTGAGATGCCAAAATGCCAGTTTCCACTGCTGGAAAATTAAAGCTCCAACTTCCATTTGACGGATCTTTGGTTTCTGCCCCACTGAGGAACCGAGACCTCAGCACAAATCACTCATTCCCCTGTCTCATTTTACAGAGGTGCAATGAAACATTGATTTCTTTATGCATTTTAGCTTAGGATGCAAGGTTCAGATATGAATCTGATCCTCATTATCATTTCCATGGCCGCAGGGAAACATTTTATCCTTTTAAAGGAGTGGACTAAATGCTTCTCTCGCCCAATTTTTTCATCTGGCCACTTGCAATTCCATCTGTAATCTTTTAATCTCCCACGCAGTCTTCCCAGCACATCAGGGCCCAGGAGATGGCATGTTCTCCTGGCTGGCATATGCAGCTGCAGCCCACAAAGCCCTTCAAAATGCTTTTGAGCAAAAGCCACCTTGTGAGACATGAACAGCACTAGGTGTGGATTTCTCTGGTGTTACAATGCGGGCAATATTTGAAATGACATTCAGGACTCCCTTTTTCAGGCAGCTCACACAGCTACAGCGAGTACATGCCTCACGCAGGCCCTGCTCAGGATTTTCCACGGAAAGTACCTTCAGGCACGTTACCCACGCAAGAGGCATCATTGCAGTGCCCCACCAACAAAATCAGAACCGCAGCTGAGCTGCTGCTGGCTTTCCCCATACATATGGTCCCCTCTATGGTAAATCCGTTCTGGTCACATCCTTCTCGTGATGCTGCCGAGAGGGCTGGGTTGCCGCGCACGCG